CAAATCAGACATCTAAGTGTATGGAGAATATCATATGCTGAAATACCACTTATACTGAAAATGATGACATAAAAGTAGCATAATATATAGTTATTTCTCCTTTCTTTGCTCATCAGACAGCCTGGTAGAAAATGTACCTATAAAATATGCCTATGAAGAATTTAAGCAAGAGGGTTTTGTACAGCATTTCTATTATCCTGGTAGGGATAAATTGCCATACATGTAAAGGCTATGAAATATAAATTGTGTGATGTATATGATTCTACATACAGGTCAAGTGCTCTTGTATTTTCATTTAAAACTGGCATTGCAAAAAACACAAAAGAATAGTAAAATTCTTATCAAGGAGTTAAAATTTTACTTGTTTTTTACTTGCAGGGACATTAAATAGCAAACAGAAAACACTGTGTCAAGGTCAAGTGAGAAAAAAAACATGAAAAAAAAAAGTAAAAAGCTTACCTAAAATATGTTTTAGGACCTTTAATGAGATGGTTTTCTTTTCTTTTCTTTCTTTCTCTTTCTTTTTTTGAGACACACTCTTGTTAATTTGCCCAGGCTGGTGATCTTCCTGCCTCAGTCTCCTGAGTAGTTACTGTGCCTAGCTAGCATCCCTGCTTTTTGAACAAGGAATCCCACATTTTCATTTTGTATGGAGCCCTGCAAATTAGATGACTGGCCTTGCTCCCAAGGCTTCACAACATACCCACAAGCGCTGATAAAGCTAGTTTCAGGAGGCGCTGGTCAGGCCTTTTCCTGGCTTGGTCTTCCTTCCATGCCGTATCACACCCATCTTGGGACTTCAGTTGGAGCCAATGGATATTATTTGTCCCTTTGGTAAGCAAACAAAAATCTCCCAGACATAGTTCTAAATAAATAGACAGCGGGAGAATGAAGTGGTAGGGGCTTATCCAAGATTCCTATGTCAGGGATAAAAACATAAGCTCTTAGCTCTCAGCTGTGGGTCCGATGCCGTGCTCTGTTGGCACCCATCTCTACTGCTGGTGTTTGGACCTTGAGCATCATTTGAAAATAGCAAAGAGGTCATCATGTGTTGCCTTTCTCTGACCATATCCATATGGGCCACCACAGCTCCACAGTAACAGATGCAGAGCGAAAGGATCTGCCCTTCAAGGAGTCCCAGAGGAGCCTTGTGCTTTGTTTAAGGTCAACAAGAATTGATCAATAGGCTAATACATGATTCCTCTGTGGCCTCAGTAAGAATCAGATTCTTCGGTCTCCTAGGCAGGTCATGTTATCTTTTTTAATCACTGTAACAGAATCATTTGAAATAACGAAAACAGAATGCTCTCCATTTCTTTCCTTGAATTTCTTAGGAAATAAGACTTGCAGAATCACATCCAGGGACCCTACACAATTAGTGAGCTTCCTCCAACTAAAAGGAAATCCAAGGGGCCAGGGATTTAGCTCAGTGGTGTCACTGCCTGCCTTGCAAGTGCAAGGTCCTGAGTTTGATCCCTGGTACCAAAAAAAAGGAAATCCAAGGCAGAAAGGACCATACCTGGGGCACTTTGGTGATTGCTGACACATCCTCCATGCAGCCCTCTCCATGTGGATATCCATACTAACATCTCTTAGTACATTCTAGCTGCCCCCTTACTATTCTTCTGGGGACTTTGGGAGAGTACAAGGATTCACTGGCCCTACATTTTCTCCAAAAGCCTCACAAATGCCTCTTGCTTGGAGCAAAGATGCCCTTGGCAACACTGACTAATTCTCCCAGAACTTCTAAGTTAGTTAAAGTTCCCTATAAGCCTCAAGACGGTCTCTATGCTTGGCTCTTTGTGGAAGGAAGACAGAGCCTTGAGAAATGTCTTCAGTGTCCTTGCATGAAGCCCAGTGGGCTGCTCAGCTCGTTCTGCAGGCCCAATGGTAGGGTCAGCTGCTTTCCTGCCAGAATGAACCAGCACTTTCTGGTCTCCTTCCTTTTTAGCGGGCACCCAGCAAAAAGGATGCCTCACGGCCAAGCTGCACCATTTTGGCTCTAGCATCAATACCAGCGGTCATCTATCCTTCCTTCCTATCCAGTGATAACTACAAACAATCATTTGAAATTTTTCTGTTGCCATTGAAAACAATCTTCATGAAAATATTTTAATGAAGTGTAAAAAGGCATCTCATATAATGAGAAGTGGGATTAAAAGCAGGATGCATGATTGTACAGGCAGGAGGACCTCAGCTTTGTAAATAGTTTATATTTATGCACAGAAGACAATACAGAAAGGAAATATATCACAGTGGTTTTTGTTGGGAATGTGGGATTAGAGGTAATATTTGTATTTACTTCTTTAAAATTTTGGTATTTTTTAAAAAAGAAAACACATTATGGATATCTATTACTTGTGTGTGTGTGTGTGTGTGTGTGTGTGTGTGGTACTGGGAATAGAACTTGGGGCCTTGTGCTTGCAAGTCAGGCAGGAGAACCACTGAGCTAAATCCCTGGGCCAATTACTTTTATAATCCTATAAAAAGGATACTTTGCTATTAGCAAGGACTCCTAAAACAGTGGTAACTGACTTTATATGCATAGTCCAAAAGAAACCAGTATCAGGCTTTCACTTCTCCCAAGGTGACTCTATGTGAAACCCTCCTCTCAGCTACTGAATTGTCTTCTCAGGATACAGATCTTGTCTTTGAAGAGGCTACTCAGTTTGTAACCACTATTTTCTTTCTTATGTGAAACTTTGCAACATTTAGAAGTACATAGCCCTACCAGAGCTTGGAACAAGACACTGTATGTCTTTCTCCTAGTTCTCAAGGCTGAGAGCTCTCAGAAGAATTCTTGAGGTGTACAGCTTGGGAGCTGGCCTGGGTCTGGGTTTGGGAGAGACAGCAGCCTGGAGGATGCTGACTTTGTGTATCTATCTCCATGTGATGACAAGAATATCTCCTCTGAAGCCGAATGGCTCTGGATCCTGGGTGTTTTCTCTGCAATAACCGATGATCATATTTCTTTTAGATAGATTTAAAAAAACAGGTTATTAGGCTACCTAACCATGCACACAACAGATTATTAATAAGTGGTGGGCCTGTAATCCCAGCACTCAGGAAGCTAAGGCAGGAGGATCACTGTGAATTTGAGGCCAGCTCTGGCTACGTAGTGAGTTTGAGGCCAGCCTGAATTGCACAGTGAGACCATCTAAAAAAAAAAAAAAAAAAAGTGGTAGGTACTGGATAAGGCAGCAGAGAGGAAAATCAGCTACTGCTACTTTGTATTCTCTCATCACTAAAGTTTTCCAAAGTGTGCATGGTGCAGGGCTGTGGGAAAGTGGAGAAGCTGTCCAGATCTCAGCCCAGACCTGACTCTGCTGGCCTGACCAAGGACACATCTTTGGTTTCACCATTGAAATGTAACCACTTCTGGGTGGGGAGGGGCGGGTAGTGCTAGTCACTGGCTGGTAGCCAAAAGGATGGGGTGAGGGGTAGTCCTAGGATGCCATGGGTAACACTGAATATAAGATTCCATTACCACTCGGGAATCACTGCATTAGTGATCCAATGTCTCTTCCTCCACCCACAGCTGCTTGTCCCTTTAACTATTCATTGGGCAGCAGCCAGTATAGTAGGCTAGAGACTTACAGGAAACAAAGAGCATCAAGCTGTATCTTTTAATGGATTCAAATAGTTCATCTTTGATCTACTACTATGTTATTTGCTGCCATTAGTAGCAATATTATTATCATCAGTATTACCCTTTCTCCCACAGCTGGGAGTATTGCTATTGTTATTAGTACTTTCAGTTTGTAAATTACTTTACAATGACAGAGTGCTTCCCTGGCCTGGGTTTCATCTGGTTAAAGATGACACTGGACATGGCATTATGGGAAGGTAGAGGTAGGCTGGAACTAGAAACCCCAAAGGGAACACAGTAGATCTGCACTTGGGAATAGAGCAGTTATCAGTAGGTGATCAGATGTATTTTCATCCCCATGCACCTGGGCCACAGACACAACCACCATGCCAGCCACACCTAGTCACACTGCCTACCTTCAAATCTATTGCAAGCTAGACAACTCCAAGGGCTAGAAACAAGGAGGAATGGGCTTTTATTTGGTCTGATCACACCAAAATCCTACCAAATGGCAGAAAGAGACATTCCTTTCCAAATGTAATGCCGTCCTCTCTGGCAGCATCTCCCATCGATTCCAAGGAAGGCCTTGGAAAAAAAGCAAAATCTTCCTTTCTTGTGGATTTTAATTTTCAGTTCTTAAAGTGTTTTAATGCCCAGCTTTGGCCTCAGCCCCAGAGCGAAGTCTGGAATATACAGCGTCCTAGCTTAATAGAAGGCTCCCTTTTTCCTCCACCCCTAGGAGGAGATCAAGAATGCAGCAGAGCTTAAAAGGAACCATGAACTAGATTCCCTTTGAGATTGCTGTCTTCACCTGGCAACAGGGAGCCCCAGCAGAGCTTAGGGAGAAGGGAAGTGACACGTTGGAATCCATTTTGCTCAAGATGCTGAAAATATCGTGGCAAACTCCCTTTTCCTTCTGAGGCCAAACAACTTGGGGAAGAACCTTACCCAAGGGCTGCAGTTGGTTGGGAGGAAGGCGAGGGTCAACTCTGGAGCCGGTGATACCTGAGAGCCGACAGGTGCGCGCGGGTAGCCCTCAGGACCCACCCACAAGGAAATGCTGGGCTAGCAGTGGGTGCTGGCGCTGCTTTCTGCAGATGGGACCCAAGTTCACTGGCGAGCAGCAGCAGCGATCGCCAGGCCAGCTGGGTCGCCTTCTATCTTCCAGCCATTTAAAGGCGAGACTTAGGATGGATAAGAGGACAGGGAGAGAGATGACTACGGCCTTCTCTCGAAAGTCACACTTTTCCCAAAGCGCCTCCCTCTCAGGTTCTCCGCTCCAGAGCGACACGTTTAGAGCAGAGAAGTCCGCACCGCGGGTGCGCGCCGCAGAGGTTTGCTGGGACGCGAAGGGGCAGGGTCGGAGACTGGGGACTGGAGACTGGGGTGTGCGGGATGCGGCGCGACTCACCTGCCAGGCTGTTGTAGCAGTCGACCTCGATGGCTTCCACAGTCTTGCTCTGCTCCTCCGAGAGGCAGCCGATCTTGGGGGCCCCGGCCAGGGAGGCTGCGCGCGAGTCCCTCTCGCGTTCCCCGGCGGGCAGCAGCAGCCCCTTCAGTTCTAGCAGTGCCCGGTGGTATTTGCCGATGGCTTCTCGGAATTTCTTGTCCTTGTAGCACTGTGCCCCTTGGCTCTTGAACTCGTGTGCTCGCCGGATGAGCTCGGCGGGCTCGGCCGCTGCCCCAGCCTGGCCCCGCGCCGGGAGCC